ATTCCTCCTTATCAACAAAGTGTGTACCACTTGTATGTCAGTAATTGAGCACAGATTCATTTACAATGAGTACCACTTGAGGATAAAGTTGTGTGACCCTCAAAAACTACTGGTCTAATTAGTCCTAGTTTCTCAGAAAACATTCTAGAAATTGTTCAGGAAACACAAACCTCCCAAGAAATTGATTTTTCCAGAAAAATAGTACTTCTGTGAAATAAATTTATAAATACAAGTGACAATTTCAAAATCTAAAACATTGATTTGTCCAACTTCATATGCTGTATATAATGCAAATTAGACGAAAAAAAAAGGTGAGAGATAATCTTTTAGAATCTTCACACACGTTTATTTATTTTCATTTCAATTCACTATTGGTTGTGTTGACTGAATTCAAACTTAATATTAAAGCTTATTGGACCAAGGATTTTTTTGGTTGCCAGAACACTGATGTTCATTGGTGAGACAATGCCTAGAGACAGGATGAGTAAAGGCGACGGAAAACCTACAACCAATCAACCAAGGTTTTTTTAATATTCAATGCATCTGACCTTTACAACCTTGAAAGTGAGTCAAGGTAATTTATTTGAGCAGAACTGACAAACCCTGTACCTCAGACTTGTTAAAGATATTTTAGTGCTTTAAAGTGAAGTATGTTTGATGAAAATCCCTCAAGAACTAAGCCCAAAAAATTATTTTATAGACTTGACCCAATAACCCTTAAACTGTTGAAGTTTGATTAAAATTGTGTGAAGAATGAAATGACAGTGCTTACAAATTTTGATCTTATAAACATACCGGTACATACAAATACATGTATGTAGAACAGACCACCCATACATACAAATACATGTATGTTGAACAGACAGTTCATATATACAAATACATGTATGTAGAACAGACCACCCATACATACAAATACATGTATTAAGAACAGACCACCCATACATACAAATACATGTAAGTAGAACAGACAGTTCATATATACAAATACATGTATGTAGAACAGACCACCCATACATACAAATACATGTATGTAGAACAGACCACCCATACATACAAATACATGTAAGTAGAACAGACCACCCATACATACAAATACATGTATGTAGAACAGACAGTTCATATATACAAATACATGTATGTAGAACAGACCACCCATACATACAAATATATGTATGTAGAACAGACCACCCATACATACAAATACATGTATGTAGAGCAGACAGTCCATACATACAAATACATGTATGTAGAACAGACTACCCATACATACAAATACATGTATGTAGAACAGACAGTTCATATATACAAAGACATGTATGCAGAACAGACAGTTCATACATACAAATACATGTATGTAGAACAGACCACCCATACATACAAATACATGTATGTAGAACAGACCACCCATACATACAAATACATGTACGTAGAACAGACAGTCCATACATACAAATACATGTATGCAGAATAGACAGTTCATATATACAAAGACATGTATGCAGAACAGACAGTTCATACATACAAATACATGTATGTAGAACAGACCACCCATACATACAAATATATGTATGTAGAACAGACCACCCATACATACAAATACATGTATGTAGAACAGACCACCCATACATACAAATACATGTATGTAGAACAGACCACCCATACATACAAATACATGTATGTAGAACAGACAGTCCATACATACAAATACATGTATGCAGAACAGACAGTTCATACATACAAAGACATGTATGTAGAACAGACCACCCATACATACAAATACATGTATGTAGAACAGACCACCCATACATACAAATACATGTATGTAGAACAGACAGTCCATACATACAAATACATGTATGTAGAACAGACCACCCATACATACAAATATATGTATGTAGAACAGACAGTCCATACATACAAATACATGTATTAAGAACAGACCACCCATACATACAAATACATGTATGTAGAACAGACAGTCCATACATACAAATACATGTATGTAGAACAGACCACCCATACATACAAATACATGTATGTAGAACAGACCACCCATACATACAAATACATGTATGTAGAACAGACAGTCCATACATACAAATACATGTATTAAGAACAGACCACCCATACATACAAATACATGTATGTAGAACAGACCACCCATACATACAAATACATGTATGTAGAACAGACAGTCCATACATACAAATACATGTATTAAGAACAGACCACCCATACATACAAATATATGTATGTAGAATAGACCACCCATACATACAAATACATGAATGTAGAACAGACAGCCCATACATACAAATACATGTATGTAGAACAGACAGCCCATACATACAAATACATGTATGTAGAACAGACAGTTCATACATAAAAATACATGTATGTAGAACAGACAGTCCATACATAAAAATACATGTATGTAGAACATACAGTCCATACATAAAAATACATGTATGTAGAACAGACAGTCCATACATAAAAATACATGTATGTAGAACAGACAGTCCATACATAAAAATACATGTATGTAGAACAGACAGTCCATACATAAAAATACATGTATGTAGAACAGACAGCCTGTACAGAAATAAAAATAATAGTCTCTCTAAAGTTTCAGTAGAAGGGGACTAAAAATCCATGATATCTCTGGCATGCATCCAAGCAGGTTACATCTCAAATATGATAATGAATTAAATCTTCATGATTCTAAAGAATCTAAACATACCGACTCCTGTAACCTTAATATAATTGTTTTTTAACAAAAACAACAATGATTTACCCATTTAAAAAAAAGTCAGGGCCAAAGAAACAGATATACAATGTGCATTAATCCATCTAAGTGTAAGCTTAAAGGTTGAGATAAATTTGGATATTTTTTTGTGTACATGCTGTGAAATTGTTAGCATGACAAGCAAAATCTTATTTACATGTTATATACAACCTTTGCTTTTCAATGAAAGTATGATTTTCCTGGAAAGACAGCCTTTCTATAAATAAGCTTTTCAGAGAATTTATACCGTAAAAACCCACGTACTAAGGAGGGGAGACGTACACAGACAACACATCTCCAACAATAAACATGTTATTTAAGTAATCACAATTCTCAATTTTCAGTGACAAGGATAAAAAATAATTTGAAAAATTTTTTTTTTCAGAAATACCACAGGATCTTTTCTAATGTTATATAGTTTGAACTTAAAGTAGTATTCACAACAGATATGATTTTGATGTATAGATACTGACTTTTTAAAAAAGGGTTTGTAAGTGAAAATTCCCCAAATGTCATCACAGAGTAGTATTACTGATCACATGATCAAGTTTGAGATACGGCAAAATTATTGGATTTTGTGTGCCTTCATCTTATCAAATCGTGTTGTAAAATGGCCACACTCTGTGTACTAAACACTTGAGAACCTCTTTAGTCATATCTGGATTGTCACTAAACAGGAAGAAACAGCTCTGTGATTACATCAACATTTATATACACTTTTGTTTACTGTTACAACACGAAGGTTTATTGATCTTTTATACCCGTTCTTCATTCAAAAGAGATTTAATAAGAAAATTAAATAACTTGATAATAAGGATTTTTTTTGTAAGTATTTCACACTCCACTTTATTTGGGAGAATATATATCACACGCAAGGATCTATGGTGATAACTGGCAAATACACACAAAAATGTACTCATGATAACCACCGACACGACACGTTCTCATACAGACTCCCTGTAATTAACATGATTCCACAGGGATCCTGGCATCCACCATATATATTGTAATGGTTCTTAGTATAAGCTGGGTCTTTTCATTCTTTTATGATCTTTCATCTTAATTTGTCTTTTCTCTAATTTAATCTTAATTTGTCTTTTCTCTAATTTAATCTTAATTTGTCTTTTCTCTAATTTAATCTTAATTTGTCTTTTCTCTAATTTAATCTTAATTTGTCTTTTCTCTAATTTAATCTTAATTTGTCTTTTCTCTAATTTAATCTTAATTTGTCTTTTCTCTAATTTAATCTTAATTTGTCTTTTCTCTAATTTAATCTTAATTTGTCTTTTCTCTAATTTAATCTTAATTTGTCTTTTCTCTAATTTAATCTTAATTTGTCTTTTCTCTAATTTAATCTTAATTTGTCTTTTCTCTAATTTAATCTTAATTTGTCTTTTCTCTAATTTAATCTTAATTTGTCTTTTCTCTAATTTAATCTTAATTTGTCTTTTCTCTAATTTAATCTTAAATTGTCTTTTCTCTAATTTAATCTTAATTTGTCTTTTCTCTAATTTAATCTTAATTTGTCTTTTCTCTAATTTAATCTTAATTTGTCTTTTCTCTAATTTAATCTTAATTTTCCTTTTCTCTGCTTTTCTCTAAATTGCCTACATATCAGCAATCTAGTGTTTTTTCCCAATCAATAAAACAGAATCAGAGACCACGAGGAATCTACATGTAAGCGAGATCCATCAAGCACTTTTCAAGAGGTGTTGACAACAATCTTTAATGGCAAAATATGGTGACCTCAGTGATTCCTTTCCTTTTTCAAGGTGCTACAAATAATTTGGCTGTACATGTAGATAACATGTCAGTTTTTACATGTATTCCCAATAATATGAATAGCAAGTGGTACAGAGTTTTTATACAAACTGTATATACAATTGTATCAGAATTTTTGGTAAGATTTTTTTCAGTCAGATCCAGAATGCCAAAATTTGAATGACTTCTGTGGGACATTAACTAGGAAAGATAATGATTTCTTAAAATTTTGGTGAATATCAGAAGAAAAGCATAAGTATAGGATTCAAATGCATATATGAGTTCTGAAAACCATGTACATGTCATATTACTGGAACATATTAAGATGTTAAAATGAAATTAAAATTTATATACAAATATACAACAATCAGTAACTTTTAAACAACAATGAGTCTTTACATAAAAGACACGAGGGAATTAAAGTCACATCATAACTCAAATGTTTACATACTATTATTTTTGTGACATCCGAGTCCAATATGTCTTCCGATGTTGCCTGCTGAACACACTCTGATAAAATTCTGCCAGTAATCACCGGAAAATCGGTACACACTCTATGTGTGAGACGTGCTCCCATCTCAACCAGGAGCTGAACCACCTCAAAATGACCACCTGAAAGACCCAAGAGATACAATTGAGGATTTCATTTCATTTTCAGTATTCATTAAAAAGATTTCCGATTCTCTTGAGATACAACACCGGAATCTGCTCATATTGTATGTCATATTCTGTTGACATCAAACTCTTATTTATTTATCTATTTACCAAATTGTTTGATGTGTTTTACAAACTCCAAAGGAGGAGTGCCAATTTGGGCCTTCTGGTGGCCATGACGAATACATTTTATTTTTTTAAGATTCCAAATAAAACATGTACTATCTTGTATCCTGTCAGATCATTCAAATTGCAAGAACAACATCAGATGAAAAGGGAAGTAACTCTGCTCAGTTTTTGAATATTTACATAGATTTTATCATTTTCAAGCTTCACATTTCTTTGAATTTTATTGCAAATCACTTATCATCAATTATGTAATTTATACAGATATGCTAAACTAAAAAGATAGGGAGAGTAATAACTTTTTGTACCTGCACAAGCTGCAAATATAGGAGTGTTGTCTCCTGAGTTGTCTAGGGACTGAATGTATGGCTTTGGTTGGTTTATATCCATCCCTGGACAATACCACTTACTCACAATATCCTTGTTACCACCTGCACATGCTGCATACAGCAGACAACTTCGGACATCTTGTTCACGAATTAATCCTGAAAAGTTTAATGTTTCAGATCTTCATGTTTTCTTATTAAGCAAATATTTCTTGTACCTATGCGTCATAATACCAAAAGGAAATAATTTTCTTTGAAGTAAAATAAATTCTAGCAAAATAGAGATTTTCATGGTAAAAATGAAGTTGTAATTAAATTAAGAACTCTTTTATACAAAACAAAGTGTTTAAGATTTTAATATAATAATTTTTTTATTTTATGATGATTTTGGAAATTAAATTTCATTTTTATTGACATTTCTTTAATCAAATGACCAAAAAATTAACCTAAAATATTTCTATAGTAAAGAAATTTTGAAAATGATAAAATTACTACATTAAATTTCAGTTTTACAATCAACATTTTAAAATTCTTGTATTTTATTTTTCTTTATTTTCAAAAACACTCTGTTCATCCTTTGATCCATCACTTTTAGGACAGGCATTTTCAACCCAAACTTAAACATGTGCATCAGTCACAATAGAGGAGATCCAAGTGGAGACATCCTAAAAGACTATATGATATGTGAGATTTCATTATAAGTTATTAATCTATAATTATTGTATGAATACATATCTTTCCATTGTGCCGAAACAGATCCCAGAGGGAACATGACCCTGCCATGTTTTTATCTTCATATGTTCTTTTAAGTTTTAAGTTTTTTCCTTCTTTTCTCTTCTTTCCTTTTATTTGCTCTTATTTAGAAAACTCCTCTCAAGAAATAGCAATAATAATCTTGGTTGCTTGTCTGTATTGTGTTTTTCTGACATTACCAAAATCAAATGGACAACTCCTATGAAAAGAGAGGACCCTACATATGAAGACTAAGACAAATCCTTCCAATACTTCTCAAGAAATAGTAATAACAAGCATTCAATTTCAAAATCCAAGACAGTCTCCTGTCAGTGATTTTGTTTTCCTGATCACACTCAGAATTAAATGTGCATAAGTAGAGATAAAGGAAAAGCTGAAATTTGAGACTGATCGGTCGTGTATTTCCCAAGGAATTGTTTTCTGATTAAAATGGACTATGCCCAAATAAGGACCAAGTTAAGTCTATATAGGAGGTTTGAACATCATACATTGGTTACTTCTCCAGAGACAGTGTAAACAAACTATTACCGTCAAAATCCAAGATGGCCACCTGACTACCATATTGTTTCCATGATCAGTCCGAAAATGGGGCAATGCATAATTAGGGACCAAGGGTCCATATATATGGAATTTGAAAAAGATCCATTCAGTGTTTCTCCAGACAAAATGATAGCAAAGTTTTATTGTCAAAATCCAAGACGGCCACCTGTTGGCCATCTTGTTTTTTGCAAACAGTCTGAAAATGTGACATTGCACAACTAGGGACCAAGGGGAACCTACTCAAGTGTATAACCCATTGAGTACTTCTTTAGAAATAGCAATAACACGCTTTTACCATAAAAATCCAAAATTGATACTTAAATGTAAATACACAACAAGGGACTAAGGGGAACCTACATAAAAAAAATATCCATCAAGTTCTTTTCAAGAAACAGCAATAACAAGAATTGTTTAAGGACTAACAGATGGACTATAAAGGATGAACTACAGAGGATAGCCTATGGACTACGGACCGAAGACCAGACGCAGAGCCATTTGAACAGCTAACCTGCTGCTGCTGCTGCTGATGATGATGATGATGATGATGATGAAATTGGGTAAATTTGATAGAGAAATAAAAAGAAGAGGCCTAACATGCCTGTAGCATTCACCTATCTGTATTTAATGATCAAACCAAAAATTGATAATCTGAAAAAAATTCTGAAAGCTCAAGTCTATGCATGGTGGCCATGTTCGATTTTCAAGCTTGAGAATTACAGTGAGAAAAAATATTATATAAACGCATTAACAATAACATTTGTATTAAATATGGGAAACAATAGCTTTTTAAAAAATTTTGAAAGTTTCTCTATTACAGAACAAGGAAAGTCATGCATAGTTGATTATGAGAGAAAAATTTGTTATCAGATGTAACATATTACAGTACTGTATTATCTTGCAATAAACCCAATTCCATAATAAACCCAAACTTACATTTGCATTTCAATGCTTTCTTATTGATATGCGAAAAGTCCATCTACAGTTTCTTTGTCTGTTGGCCTTAGTGTGTGATACAAGTCAGGAAAGTAATTCAAATAGAGTCAGTTAAAAAACTTATTAGAAATTAGAACTAATTAGAAAGTTTTTTGTCACACTGCCATCTGGGATTTCTTTGGATCTTAGTAAATACTGTGATGGACTCATTTCTTTTATTTCATATGACTGGAAAGATGAAAGAATCATATGCAAGGTCATGGCATATTCTCTGTCAGTCCTGTTAATTAGCCATGTGAAAAAAGAAATATTTGAAAATTTGTCTTAAATAATAATTGCCATGGTAATTAAACACATGTATTGACTTTTGCAAGTGAGATAAATTTTCACTTTCAAATTTGACTTTTACCAACCGTAATCAGAAATCTAGATTTATAAGAAATCTGAGTGTTAGTTTGTGAGAGATGAGTTTTCCGCCACAGTTGCAGTGCTCAGAAACCATTTGTAAAACATTCTCACCAAGTTGTGGAAGAGATTCATTGTTACATACTTGGTTGGTATGAGAACAGGATACTGATAATTTCAAAATGCCCACAGAGTGAGGACACATAAAATGGTGAGTTTTCCTCCCAAGCTTGTTCTCCCGCCTCCAGAATTTTGGCACCATACTCCAGCAACACCTTTAAATTTTCAGGACAGTTTCTAGAACAAACAATGTGAATAGGTCTGCCCTGGAACAGAAAACAACATGAATTCAATTAACGACTGAAAAAAGTGAAATGAAGTGAAAAAAAAGCAAACTCTCCAAAAGTAATTGTATGTATGTATACAGGGCACATCAGGAAACCTTGGGAACAAAGCCCTAAACTCTGACCTTAAAGGTGGGGCAAAAGGGTCAGCATGTCCAAGGTTTCAATAGATGTTCTAAGGCTTCATCTGTTTAAAATCCTAACAACTTGAGACATCTTTATCACGCATATAATCTGCTTCTCCTTCGGTAATACATTGTCACAAATATCACCCACAGATAACCATCCATCCACCATATTTTATAAATAATAAATAACCGTAATTAGCTCCCCTGCTTCTATAAACTCCTTTTACAAGGATATATATATGGATAAGCTCCCCTTGCTCACCCTAAAAACATCAGGTCAATACAGTTTATAAAAGAACATAAATTACATCACATTTTACACATCAACAACCTTTACGTGAGTTGTTCAGTCCATGGTGCTTTGAAAATAGTAATGAACAATCTCTTAGTCTTTTATCTCTTATGTCAAGACAAATAAAAAAATCAAAGCTGTTTTGTTATCCTATACAAAGTTCTCCTACTGACTGAGTCAGAATTGAATGACTGGTCCTGGGCTTGTAATACGCAGTATTAGATATGGCAACAGAGTTTAACTTACATGTTGAGGACAAGAAAGGTTGATATCGATGTTTTTGTGCAGAAGGGCTTTGATAAATGTCTTATCAATATCTTGTATACTGCAGAGAAAGTGAAGTAATGGCATGCCGTCACCAAAAACAGCATCATTCAGGGCCTGAAGGGAATTTCCCTCTTCCTGCACTGGATTTTCCTCATCAAATGGCCCTGCGGCTGGTCCAGTCATCCCCTCCAACGCATTGAGCAAGATTAGAAACAAGTCTATGTTACCATCTTCTACAGCCCTAGTGAAAGCACCTGGGTCAAATATCTCTGAAAATTTCAATAAATTTGACATCAACCAATCCATTTATGTTTGTTTTGAGAAGTTGATATTACAAGAGATTGGAGATTGGTGGGTGTATAGGGGAGTCATAATTTAAACTAAATTACATTAAATTATAAAATTTTTATACCACTACTACAATCATTATTAAACGTCATTTTGAAATTAAATTATGTTATGAATTTTAAATCCAATAAAACAATCATGATACTACACCTGATGCAACGTCCATGTTGGCTGGCTGAATTTAAGGATTTTCCATCACTAGAGATAAAGGGACAGGCTTGGTTTTAACCAATACTTGGTAATGTTTATCTGTAAATTCGGAGAACAGATTATATAGATGAGAAGTTATCACACCTCTATTTAGGCAGGTGTACTTATACATGTAGGTAATAAACATGACATTTACTAAGCTGTAATGATTCATTATATTTGGACGCGCAAACATTCAAGTTTACACACAGGTATATTTACATAAACATCATTAAACAAAAATGACTCTTGACCTCATTATGACTGATATCATTACAGAGTTGTTGTGAGACTAAATTGTATACCCGGTATATAGATTTTAAGAATCACACATATATAATAAATATAAATTTATTTTATATAGCTCTACAAAGAATTTAGTCATCATATACATTATCTTATAATGGTAATTTTTAAAATGTTGCGATGTTTGCACAAACTCAGGTATGATTTTAATGTTATCTTGTTCACACTTCTAATCTTCACAGTTTGTTCATGTAGTATCTCTGCCCTCGTAGCTGTTAAGCCACTCTTGTTATCAGAACATATTTAAAATTACAGGCAATGTCTCAATATAAACCAACTAGAACAAAGTGTGATTTAAGGTATGACTAATGCCATCCATCATGTGACCATTCCAATATCACAAATATTCACACAGCAATGACTTGGAATCAAAATGCCGTTTATTAATTATTATTCACATAAGACAATGCCATGTGAAAGAAACGTAAACATAAAGATTAAACTATCTTGAGATAGCATTAAAGGTTTGATATAAGCGACACAGCTGTGCAGCCAAACACACCATATTGTGCTAACCAGCAAACAGTAAATGCTTAACAAATCAAAGATGTTGTTATATTTGAAAACTGGGAAATTAGATTGAAGTGACAAACTTATGATATTAAGCAAACCAGCAAATAGTTAATGATCAAACAATCAAAGATTTTGATATAATTGAAAACTATAATATTGAATGTGATTTTAGGTCTTACATTTGAACTAAACCATATGTCTTTTTGTGTCAATCTTCATGCCTCTTGTCATTTTATCATGACGGTCAATTTTAAGAGGTTGCTGAACATTCTAAAACATCTGACCTCTGTGGACCTGAAAGTAAGGTATTTATTGCATGCTGTTGCCCTTCTTGGGTTTAAGAAGAAGTTGTGAGGGGTGCATGAATACATTTTCTCCGTTTCTTTAACATCATGTTGATGGAAAATTCAATCACTGAGTCAGTCATATACCCAATAGTCACCTTGGGGGAAACCACATGCTGGTTGCTAGTTGCCCAAGCTAGCTTGGAAAATAAGAAATAAATACAAGAACAATCAAATGACTTAACTCTGGTGAAAAGGTTATAAGCACTCACATCAGAATATATAACTGTGTTTGCAGTGATGTAAGGTTATACAATACCTAATATATGCAAAATATTTCATGAATATAAAATTTTAAACTTTTACTTAGAAGAAATGGCACATAAATTGTGTCGGTGACAAAAGTATCAAGGGCTATAATGCTGGCATCTCACTGTTCCGAAATTGAGCAAAGATGGATACACAATAAATGAAATGTTGAAACTTGGCTCCGACTGTAAAATCGTTGAGCCATTTGTAAAGACATCTCCAGCCGTTGTATAACCACTGGTGGAGGTTCTCAGACCTCGGCAATAACCATGTTAGCAGTGGCATCTTTTCTGGTGTGCCAAAATCATTTGTGGAAGACATTGCAAATTTTTAAATCAGATATTAAAGATGTTCCAACTACATTGAACTCAATTTACTGTTCTTGCATTTCTGAATGTAAATGTTCAACAGGACAATTATTTATCAAGGGTGCGGCTGACTAGTGTATCACCATTTCTCATTCCTATCTCTATACAACTGGTATGTCACTCACTCACAGTGACATTGTTAGTATTCACTTCTGATGTCAAAATGGTTATAGAGAGTAGTTCCATGTACTAAATATTGTGTCATCGAAGAAAAATTCACACTTTGAAAAAATGGTAAAGTAATGTGTTGCATTCATGAGAGAATTACTAGAGTGAAATGCTTATCTCATGGTTTGTCCGACATTGATCAATTACCAGTACATATCTCTCATGGTGGTTTTTCTATCTGAAATATTTACATACTGATCTTTATTGTCAATACGTAAGATTCTTGATACTAATTCATTTATCACATAAGAATCACTAGGTTAATTTGTTAATGAAAAACTCTTTTTAAAACCAGCAGATGTACAATGTACTAACCTATGTAATATCAGTTCTGTACAGTATGGATCAGAATGTAAATGTTTAGCTGAAATCTAATACTGGTCTAAGAGAGAAAACACAATGTTGTACATCTAAATACATTGACTTCATTTTCTGTCTGGCATTGATATAGTATCATCCTCTGGCAGAACTGCCATCATGTTTCTTCAAATCTGGTATTTTTCTTTCATAGCATAAATATCTTTTCAAATTCAGGTACATATGAGTCTACAGTTTTACAGATTGATAAAATTAATAATCAAATACTGGTTCTGACTTCTGTCTATGTTATGATGTCTATTTTACAAGGACAACCCTGGAAAGACAAGGACCCTGAACTCCACAAAACAGATTAATAATTTTTAACATTTTCTTTGAATTTAGATATGCAAATTGCTCTCAGCTCTCTGGAAATTTCCTGTCTTACCAGAACACATCATCAATTTTTCTTCATATTTCTCAGCTCTCTGTTAATGTGGAAATAACTGATATCCAATTTTTGTTTTGTTTTGTTTTCTTTTTTATTTGAGTTTGATGGCAAGAAATCATAAAGTTTAAAACGAAAAAGCAAATCAAACTAATATGAAAAGTGTTACCTATAGTAATAATGCTAAATTTACACAATTGGCACAGAATCTAGGCCGTTGTTTTACTGCAATGATAATTAGGTGAGACACAGTATCATTGTGGGACCTGTCCATCTCAGACCATCAAATTTTCATTACTTGCAGTAGTGACAAGTTTTCAAAGGAAAAATTTATTTATTCAGAAAACTGAGTTAGGAAGGTAGTTATGTTGATGTATGTGAAATGATATCAAGTGCATCGCCATTACGCTGCATTACTACTGTGTTGTTGTGGAAATGAACAGAATGCTGATTAAGGTGACGATTACGGTATATTTCCCAATATTCTAACAAATTCTGATATCTGATTTCAGACTTAAATAGTTTTATCACTTATTTTTAACAAGCGAATTCCCGTCCCAGTTTGAACAAAAAGTGCATGTGTAAGGTAATGGAAGTATCTCTGTTCTGCCATCTTGGATCCCAGTTGGTACTCTTCACCAAGCAATCCACCTGAACTGGTTCGGTTCACGAGATATGGTGCATTCCATTATGAGTACAGTAGATTTGTTAATTGAAGGTCAAAGGTTGTTTACTAAAGGCAGGTCATGTGATGCCTTCATGAACCTATTTCCAATGTCATGTACTCTCAATACATCATTTAGTCATTGTGTGACTTTCAAGTGTCTTCCTCGGTCTATTTCGCATGAAATTAAAATTTTCATATTCATTTGACTATCTGATGTCAATATGGAACAGTCTGATGACCACATTACAAAACGACATTCAAAATGGCATTGGAGTTACAACATTCCATTTACAGACAGACTAGCTGATTCTCTGGATATCAGGCACTTATAAGTACTGCAGCTGTGACAATTGACATCTGACCACATGACACTCAAAATGTTGTCACTGTGTATGTTTCACCAATGCCTTCAATACTTTAATGTATCTTTGTATACAAAATACCTATCATTTCCAAGAACTTTAAACATCTCAATATTGCAACACATCTGTGACCTTTGAACTTAATCATATGACCTAAAAGGTTTCTCAAAGAAAAGCTTGCATCAATTCTTACAGTAATCTAATGCGCTGTTGTGTATACAACACATATCCTTTGTGAAATAAGTGACCATTTCAGAACTGTGACCTGTGACCTTCGACCTGATGACCTGATATTTGTTATTGTGTACCTTGCATCAATGCCTATAATTCTCTAATGTATAATGTATACAAATAAAAATCATTTTTGAGATAATTAGCCATTAGTGCAAGAACTGTTCCACTTAGCGGCGTCAAAGGTCATAGCTCTCGTAAAGAACTGACAGAATCTATTGGCATTCAGCAAGACACAGAACATGTCATGTTTAACAAACGTGTGCAAAGTTTTGTCAAAAAACCATGCGCAATCCTGGAATGAGTAAGCAGTACAAGATTATGTTCATGCACGCCTGCCCATCCTACAGAAAGACAGACAGACAGACAGACTGATTCTAGTATACCATCCATCCCAACCCCACTCACTTCGTTGTGGGGAACATAAATATATAATTGCTAACAAACTTTTGGCAGTTGATAAGTAATACAAGCTATAAATCAGTATATCAAAGATTCAGATTGAATTCCTAGTATATTCACAAGGAATATGGTATTCTCTATTCTTTCACAACAGTATGGGGAAAATGTTCTTCCTGGTGCAAGTGGGATGATAAATCTATTGGTACACTGAACCTCATTTTTTGTGTCTCTTTCACACAGATGACCTGATACTGTTATCTGGATTTCAGTATATCTGTTATCTAATTCTCTGTAATACACATGCTAAGCTGATATTGAAGTCAAGTCTAGTTTAACAATAAACATTTTTAACAGTAGACACAAAACTTCCGTCTTAGTAACATTCAACACCTACTTAAAGAACAATGCAGATGTCTTTAATATAACATCTACAAGACTTAATAATATATTGTAACGCTAGTGAAATATTCTCATCTGTGACTGTGTATATACTTAAGTTACATCTCGCTATAGTTTGTTGTGGTCTAGTGTGGATTTTGGATCTCTGTGCACATTTTTTCATTTAGTTTTCTGCTTTGATGCGGGTAGTAAAAATTCTGTTGCCTTGATGCAATTGCCTATGGATACGTGGCCGAGTAGCAAATCTTCCTCTTCATCAATCAAGCTTCTTTCGTCCTGATATGCAAGTTGAACCGTTCTTCAACGATGCATATCTGGATTGTGCCAGCATAGATCTGTATTTTTCTAGCTAGCTCTTCCCGCAGTTTACTTATCTCTTTGCTTATACATCTTTGGGCACTAGTCATCGATTTAGACGATGACAGTTTCAAAGCGGCATGTCATTCCTGGGCCTTTGTTGATTCCATACGGTGACTTTCTAGAGATTTAAACTGGACATAGTTCTTGTCTTGGTTTTTCCTACATGTTACATTCATCATCCACGAGTGTAACAAATGCACACACATAAGTAAAATGTGTAATTTGAAATAACCGCCACTTCCGATGTAATGCCGAACCCAAAGAAACACAAACATGATAGTGTGTCGTACAGTTATTTTCATTTCACAATTTCCATTCAACAATTACAAAAAATAAAAATCACATATGTTCAACCTCAAACTATAGCAAATGAGGCTATAGAACAATTACCTATATGTCCGCTTCTCGCGTTAGAACTGTGAGGAAGACAGTGCATTATCTAAAACCTACAGGTAAGTTAAGGGGAGAACCTAAATTCACCAATGAAATAGTGGCAGCTCATGCCAAGTAAACACATGACTGTTATCGATAGAATTAATTTGATCACTGTTTCGGACACTAACAAATGAAATACAACTAAAGAGTACAGTCACCGCCTTGAATATTTCACAAGCATTAAATATTTTTCAGTAGTGTGGTTCATATTAAAATATTCAATGATAAGCCCTTTCTGATAATACCATTGTAAAATATTGTACCTAATTTCATTGACAAAACATTTACATTATCTTAGTTTCTACCTTCAGAGCCTTCTTCACAGAATTCTTCTTTCACGTTTGAAAATAATGATGATATTTTTTACTTGAGCACCTACGTGTTAACCAGGGAAATATTTGGAACAATACCTAGCCTAACAGTACAAGTAGTTTAGCTCCAAGTCCTAGGTATTTTGTGGTTTATAATGGCTGTTGCTAGATAAATACATATCCCACAAAGCTATAATGTACTCAGTAAGTTAAAGTTATCACTCAATATGGTTTTCCATTAAGGAGATAAAATGATGGCAAGATCTTCCAGATGGCTAACCATGTTGTATGTGACATGTGTCAAATTCTCATTCAGGACCAATTCTGAACCATGTCCTTCCTATACACTAGTGAAGGTCATGTCTCATTTATATTCATCCACATTTAGGGAGAAGTTTAGAACTATATAAAAGATTTTCAAGGTAACTACCAGAATGGCCATCTTAAATGACACTGAAATATTTCAGAACAAATCTTAATTACCACCAATGACAAGTCATGCCCTACTCACTTGAAATTTGCCTTCATGTGATTTTCCATTAAGAAGATCTAGAGGAAAATACTGTCTTGATAAGAATTTCTGGTCAAAAGTTCCCTTAACATGTTCTAGATGGTGGTCATCTCGGATACCAAACTATGGTGGGCTTATCTCTGTCCCTATCCTGTGAAATATATACAGTCAAAGCACCTTCACATTACTACTTTATTAATGTCAAACCAAGACAAGAGGCCCACAGGCCTTAAAGGTCACCTGACTACATACCTAGTTTATATGATTGGGTTAAATAGGCCTTAGATAAACTGTTTGACTACTCTACAGCTTCCAATGAAGGCATTGTTGGTTCATAAAGACATTTTCTACAAACTTGAAAT